AAAAAATCAATAATAATAATAATCCAATTTTTAAATGGGTGAATGACCTGAATATACATGTCCTGAAAGAAGATAAGCAAATGGCTAATAAGTATATGAAAAAATGTTAAGCATCGCTAATCAACAGGGAAATTCAAATCAAAACCACAGGGACATATTATCTCACCCCAATTAGAATGGCTTTTATCAAAAAGACAAAAAATAATAAAATTCTGGGGCTGGGTTATAGCTCCAGAGTAGTGCATATGCAAGGCCCTGGATTTCATTGAAGGGGGAAAAAAAGCAAAAACAATAACAAAAAACAAATCCTGGCTAGAATGTGGAGAAAAAACTTTCATATACTGTAGTTTCAAAAGTAAACTAGAACACCTATTATGGAAACAATATGAAGGCTCCTCAAAATAATAAGAACTAGGACTAGAATATGATCCAGTAATCTTACTACTGAATACGTATTCAAGGGAACTGAAGTTATTATATTAAAGAGACACCTGCATTTACATGTTTCTTCAGTATAATAACTTCAGTTCCCTTGGAGCACCGTTCACTATAGCCAAGATCTGAAATTAACCTAGGTGTCCATTGACAGATGAATGAAGAAAATGTGACACTCTCTCTCTCTCTCTCTCTCTCTCTCTCTCTCTCTCTCTCTCTCTCTCACACACACACACACACACACACACACACAGGAATATTATTTAGCCATAAAAGAATGAAATTCTGTCATTTGCAATAATACGGATAGAACTGAAAGACATTATGTTAAGTGAAATAAGTCAGACACAGAAGGGCAAATACCACATATTCTCATTCATATGTAAAAGCTAAAAAGATAATTTCACAGAAGTAGAGAATAGGATAGTGACACCAAAGCCTGGGAAGTGTGTGTGCAAGGAGAGAGGGGATGGTTAAGGGGCACAAGGGTGCAGTTAGATAGCAAGAATAACTTTGTACATTCTACAGCACAGTAGGATAATTATGGTTGATGAGAATTAATTAAATATTTCAAAATATCTAGTAGGAAGGATTTTGAATATTTCCATCACAAAGAAATGATGTTTGAGGTGCTAGATATGCCAATAACCCTGATTTGATCATTACACAATGTATATATGTATTGAAAGTCACACTGTACTCCATATTATGTAAGTATGTATCAAATAAAACAATTTGAAACAAAAATAGAAATATAGAAAGTTGGAAGGAACTGGGAGCATTGGTGCATGCCTATAACCCAGCAACTTGGGAAGCTAAGACAGGAGGATCACAAGTTCAAAGTCAGTCTTAGCAACTTAACAAGGTCTCTAAGTAACTTAGTGAGAACCTGTCTCAAATTAAATATAAAAAGGACTGGGAATGTAGCTCAGTGGTTCAATCCCTGGTACAAAAAAAGAATTAAAAAAAATAAAGAAAAGAAGAAGAATGTAAAGAATATAAAAAATATTTTAAATAATAGTAATTAAATATAAGCTGTCATAGCAATATTAACATCACATGAATCAGAGTATACATTAAGCAGGATGTGGTGACACATGCCTCTAATCCTAGCTATCTGAGAGGCTAAGTTAGAGGACTACAAGTTTAAGGCCTGTCTGATTAACTTAAACCCTGTCTCAAAATGAAAATGAAAGGCATTGCAATGTAACTAAGTGGTAGTGTGCCCATGGATTCAATTTCCAGTACTGCAAAGAAAAAGATTAGATGACACTTAAAAATTATTAGGTCACTTCATGATATTCAAAGCTTCCATTTAAAAAAAATAATTTCAAAACTGAATGCAATTATTTATCTTGCTTATCTGACTCTCCCAACTACTGCAGGAATTTTTGTGTTTGGTTCACTGCAGTATCCCCCTGGCAACTAGAACAGTGTCTGAGACATAGAAGGCACTCAATAAATATGTGTTAAATAAATGAGTAAGTAGCTCCAATACATAAAGCAGCAAGCTAACAGAATAATAAAGTATGTGCACAAATCCATAATTATAGCGGGAGACATAAATTAGTAAGGATACAAAAGATTTGAATAGCATATTTAACAATCATGACCTAAGGGACATACAGAAAACATGATAATCAACAAAAGAATACACAATATTTTCAAGCATAAAGAAATAGTCACAGAAATTGACATATACTGGACAATATGTGAAGTTTCAACAGATATAAAAGGACTCAAATCAAATGTAACAAGTTCTCTGACCACAATGTAATTAAGCTAAAGTCAGTAACAAAGAGATAACTAACATAAATGCAAATGGTCTGAAAAGAAGAAATTTCTAAAACTCAATTAGTTCAAAGTACAAATCATAACATAATTAGAACATATACATAATAACAATAATATTTCATTGTCTGGATGGAATGACTTATATATCCATTTACCCACAGAAGGGCATTTGATGGCTTTTAAGTGTTGGCAACTAACCACAAAGTTTCTATAAATATCCATGTGAACATTTTTGTGTGAACATAAGTTTCAACTCTTCTGGAACAAGATTGCTGGATTATGTGGGAAGAGTATGATTAGTTTGGTAAGAAATCACCAAATTATCTTCCAAAGCAGCTGTACATTTTGTAATGAAAGATAGTTCTTGGTGCCCTACAGCGTGGCCCACATTTGATGCCGTCAGTGTTTTGGATTTTGCTCATTCTAATAGGTGAAGAGTGATATCTTATTGTTTTAATTTGCAGTTCCTTAAATATACATAATGTAGAGCATCTTATTTAAAAATACTATCTGTATATCTTTTTAAATGGGTTTGTTTGTTTTCTTACTTTTTTAGTTTTAAGTGTTCTTTGTGTATTTTGGAGACGAGTTCTTTGTCAAATATACCTTTTCAAATATTTTCTCCCATTCTGTCTTCTTATCCTCTTGAAGGATTTAGTATTCTTAAATAGAAAACATTACCCAGACTGAACTGTGGTACAAATTCAATGCAATCCATATCTGAACCCTAAAGGAATCTTTTGAAGATATTAACAAGACTATCCTAAAATTTATATGGAAATGCAAAGGCCCCTTAATAGCCAATCTGAGGGGGTACTGGGATTTGAACCCAGGGGCACTCTACCACTGAGCTACATCTTCAGCCCTTTTTATTTTTTATTTTGAGACAGAGTCTCACTAAGTTGCTGAGGCTGCCCTGGAACTTGTTATCCTCCTACCTCGGCCTCCCAAGTTGCTGGGATTACAGGTATACACCACTTGGCCTGGCCAAAATAATTTTTATTTAATTTTTTTTTACAAAATAATTTTTAAAAAGAAGAAATTCAGAGGATTTACCCCAATCCATTACCCAATTTAGTATAAAACCTCAATCATCAAAATTATCATCAGGGGCTGGATGTGATGATGAATGCCTATAATCCCAGCAGCTCAGGAGGCTGAGACAGGAGGATCGTAAATTCAAAACCAACCTCAGCAACTTAGTGAGATTGTAAGCAACCTAGTGAGAACTTGTCTTAAAATAAAATAAAAAGGCTGGGCAGGTGCTCAGTGTTTAAGCACTGTTGGGTTCAATCCCAGGTCACCACCCCCCAAAAAATTGTCATACATGTGGCTGGGCATGGTGGCGCATGCCTGTAATGCTATCAACTCTGGAGGCTAAGGCAGAAGGATCACAAATTTGAAGCCAACTTCAGCAACTTAGCAAGACTTCTGTCAAAATAAAAAATAAAAAGGACTAGAGATGTAGCTCAATGGTAAAGAACCCTGGGTCTTCAATTCACAAAACCAATGAAAAAAGTTGTCATCAACTTGAATCCACACAAAAACTCCACATGGATATTTATAGAAACTTTATGCTTAGTGTCCAAGACTTGAAAGCAATCAAGATGCCTTTCTGTGGGTGAATGGATAAATAACCTGTAGTACATCCAGACAATGGGATATTATTCCATTATTGTGTATATGTTCTAATTACTCTATGATTTCTACTTTGAACCAATTAAAGTCTTGTGAAATGTCTTCTTTTCTAAACATTTGTGTTTATTCTGTGGGGGGTTGGGAGTATAGTTCAGTGGTAAAGTATTTGCCTATTATGCAGGAAGCTCTGGGTTGATCCCCAGTGTCACCCCCCAAAACACAAACACACAAACACACAAAAAATCACAAAAAACTACCATACTGGGGTAATATAGGCATACATATAGATTAATGAAATATATTTGCAAGTCCAAAATAATCTTCAATTGATTTTTGGCAAAGATGCCACGGTAATTTAATGGGAGAAAGGGTGAACTTATTAACAAATGGTGCTGGGATAATGAGATATTCACAAGCAAAATTTAGACGCTTGACACACACAGAAATTAACTCCAAACAAATCACAGACCTAAATATACAAAGTAAAACTATAAAATTTCTGCCAGATGTAGTGGTGCACGCCTGTAATCCCAGCAACTCAGGAAGCTAAGGCAAGAAGATCACAAGTTCAAAACCAGCCTTAGCAACATAGTGAGCCCCTAAGCAACTTAGTAAGACCCTGTCTCAAAATAATAAATAAAAAGGCTGGGGATGTGGCTCATTGGCAAAGTGCCCCTGGGTTCAATCCCTGGTACCAAAACCAAACAAACAAAAAACTATAAAACCTCTAGGTTTTATTTTAAAAAAATCTTCATGCCTTACATTAGGTAAAGATTTGTAGATGTGACACAAAAATACGACCCATAACATTAAAAATTATTAAACTAGACTATATAAAGATTTAACCCTTTGGTGGAGGACAGTTCTAACACTTTCTTGCTTGCAATTCTCAAGAATAACAAAAGAATGTGCCGCAGTCTGGCTGGGCACAAATCACGAGCCACTGAAGCAGGAACAAACTTTATTTCTGAACTCCACCAGCACACTCCACACACACTCCCCGGGAATTCTCCCGCACCACAGGGCTCATCCAGCAACTAGCAGCCGGAAATATCTCCTCCGGAAATCCCTCCTCCTGCACTTCCCCAACCAATGGGAACTCTCCGGGAATCCCCAGGAATCCCCAGGAGAACTCCAAAGTAGCGGCTGAGGCGATAGTAATGCCTTGCCTGTCAACCAATACTATTGGCAAAATGCCAGGGGCCATTCCGACTCAGCTGTGGCTCTGAGCAAGAATGTGCTGGGAGTGCAATATCTGGAGATAGCGAGAAAATTCCTGAGAAAGCCAGGACTTATGCCTGCCCTGCCTGGAAAATGTAGCATTTTGACATAAGGAAGAACTGCCTGGGACAGCCCAGGCTTGATTCCTCTCTCCTTGGAAGCAGGACATCACTCAAAACCTTACCAGGTAAGTCACATGGACCCTGAGGTAGATAAACCAAGTGGGTTACCCTTCCAGGTCTGTTAGCTGCGGTGTCAATGGGATGCATGCAATCAAGGTTCCATCCATACCTGGCACCTTTTTTTTCCCGTCCAATTTTGGAGTTCTGGGATCAAACCCAGGGCCTCTCAAGCTAGGAAAGTGTTCTACCACTGAGTAACAAACAGCCCCAGCCCCTGCCAGCTTTCTTGAGTCTTGGGAAATTAGCTCACATGGATCTTAGGCTTCTGTTGTTCCTTGCTATCTATGTGAAGTAATAAGCCAGATCCATGTAACTTGTTGTGTATGTGTGTCCTGTCTCATCAGACTGAGTCACCTTTGTACCCAGTGCACAGTGAGCCTGCTTCACAAAATTGGCACAGCTTTCTCTGCTTGTACTGATTGGGAAGGCAATGGCCTCAGCCTCAATACGCAGAATAACCCCAGGTGATATCATGAAGCTTCGCCAGTATCAACATCATTGACCACAAGGACCACATGTTCATCCAGAAGAACGTGGCCAAGGTTGACAAGGTATTGCAGGTTTAACTGCCAGTTTAAAATGTAAGCTATCTTCAGAGTTATCGGCAGGATGAGTGACTCAGATGACTCCATTCTCCAATTGGCCCAGGCCAGTGACATCATCTCAAAGAACTTCTGACTAGAGAGAATTGTGAATATGGAATATTTGTCATGAATAAAAAGTGAGAAACAGAACAAATAAACAAATTTTGGTATAGTGAACAGAAAGGGTCTGACAGACAGTAGCTCACAGTCAAAAAAGAGGCAGGCACTGATATCCACTAGTACCTGGCCTAGGATAGAGACCTCAGCCTGGGAACACAGGGCTAGCCGTGCAGCTGGATGACTGATGAGAAGGAAGCATGATAAGTGGGACATAGGTCATTTACATAGACATACTCCTGCAGATGTGGGTGAGCTGACTGGGCCAGAAAGAAAGCAATGTGGAAATGGGTGCAAGGTGCACCCTTGATTGCTCATTTCAAGGGCTGAGAGCTTGGAGAGTGAGCACTCAGATGGACCTTGAGTTATGAGAAAGAGGGACTCAAATGGCCCTTGAAGCATCTGAGAGGGAACCAACACACACAATGTGGGTCTTCAAGAAAGGATACTCACTATCCAAAAGAAGGACATGGAGGCAGACCATGGAAGTTTCATGCAGCCTAACTGGTGTGTTTGTTTGATAAAGAGGCATTGCAGATCCAAGTGCATCTGTCTCAATAGTGCAAATAGAAATGAGGCCAAGGTCTCTGGGTCCTCACTGGAGGACAATGACCCTATACTTCTGTCAAAATAAAAGAGGAAATAAAAGGTGAATTCAGATTTTTCTGAGGTTCTTATATACTGGAGCCCACACAACAGTATTTCCATTTCCCTTAGGAGAAAAAAATTAAACTGAAGACAGTGACAAGTTTCGGGATGGATGTGGTAACTGATAAATGATGCTTATCTGGTTATTGACATTATCTGCTTATTGGTGGGGCTCTGTGGGCCATTCTGTGTGCCAGTGACTGTGACTCCCACCACTGAGAGCATTATAGGCATTGAAATTTTGGCTGCTTGTGTCACAGGACATCACCACCCCTTGAGGGGGTATGCTCCTCACAGCTGAGATCAAGCCACAACAGTGACACATATCCACTCTTACCTGCTCCAAAGCTATCCAAGCCCCCATGTGTTATTCAACAACTGCAGTATTAAAAGCAGATCTTTCAGCTGCTTTTATTTTAATTTAATTTTAGCTTTTTGAGATGGGGTCTTGTTATGTTGTTCAGGGTAGCCTCAAGTTCCTGGGCTCAAGTGATCCTCCCACCTCAGTCTCCAAAGTATCTCAAGGCCTGTGCATGCACCCAGCTGATATCCCCTTTTTGAATGGCAAACACTTGCTTTCTGCACAGGCTCAACAGAACTCAATAATCAAATGGAAACTGTACATTCATGATGGAGCTTTATCTGGGCATGGTGGTGCATGCCTATAATCCCAGCTATTCAGGAGACTGAGACAGGAGGATTGCAAGTTCCAGGCCAGACTGGGCAACTTTGCAAGACCCTGCCTCAAAATAAAATTTAAAAAGGGCTGGGGATGTATCTTATTAGTAAAGCATCCCTGGGTTTAATTCCCAGTCCATACACACAAAAAAGGATAGGGCCCAGCCAGGACCCCAAGGGACTAGTGGTCTCCATAAACAAATGTTTACCAGGAGGGATGAAGCAACCTATAAAGGATGACCAGTCTCCTCCTGTGGCTACCTGGAGTCCAAGACTCAGAGTCATGTCTACCAACAATGTAACATGGTTTACTCATGGCTTTGCAAACATTAAATATGGCCACCATCTGGCCAGTGACTGACCATTCTTTGACACTGGACAGAGATATTCTGCCTAATGGCAGAACTGTATGCCAAACTACATACAGTGATGATGACCATGCAGGCCACCTTTACCACCAAATCTTGCCAACACCCTAGCCATCTGATCAGAAGAATGGCAACTGAATGACTGACTACTAAAGGACCCCCAGTGTGCAGACAAAGACTATGGTAACAGCTTACTACCTAGAAGGGACAAAACATGTGTCACTCATGTGGATGGTGGGACTGCAATGACAATGAGAGAAACAGGTTACATTTTTGGATATCCCATGGGAGTTCACTCTTACCAAAAATCATCCTTCACTGTCCAAACAACATGACAATGGGCACAGTCTCATGGAGTGTGATACATTATACCCTGTCATCCACAGGTCAACAGAGCTTTAAGTGATGGAAAATCCATCACATAGCAACTGAAGAATGAACATCAAGTGGCTTTGTGGTGGAATGGCAACCTGTATGACAAGGAGTATGGACATTAAGTACTTCCCTCCAATGCAAGGGAAACACAACCCTATATGCGTGGTGGGGGTGGAGGTAGAGCAGGCAGCCACCAGACTAGGCTACACTTTCAAAATTCCAGTATTCCCAGCCATTCTTTTTCTCTTTTTGATCTTTGGAATGCATGCTCTCAGGATGGTTTGCAGTTTAGGTCACCATAATCCCCAGCCACAGGCCCTCAACTGTAATCTGAATATGATGCCTCTCAACCTTCTTCTCCCTTACCTTGCCTCACCTCTGTGGGATCTTTCAGGGTGGGAAATGGGACCAACGAATATAAGGGTGCTGGAGTCTCTTTAGTGGTACCAAGGCTATCTGGTCTTTCCTTCTATTAGCAGGCATATCAGGTTTGTACAGACTGAAAGCTCTCTTTCTGAACTGGATGGTTGAGTCTAAAAGGTCTGGGTCAAGAAACAAGAACAATGGATGTCCACAGAGGTAGTAGCTTCAGGACAGGGACAGATAGGCTGGGTCACTACACCAATGCAGCCCAACCCCTATCTAATAAGTAAGAAACACCTGAGACCTGAGGGGATAGGAGTGCAACATAACCTATCATTCTGCTTTTTCCTCAAGGATGAAGCAGCAGAAGACTGGGAGCATAATGCCCTTATTAAGTTCTCCTAAGCTGTGACCGCCAAGATAACCTGATGAAGTGCTGGATTTGCCATCCAAAACCTCATACTTTCACCACCAGAGTATTCTTCTCATCCTGCCAGTGCTAAACAACATCGGCATTCCTAATGCCACAGTGCACCTTGACTAAACCCTGGCTTACTGAGTGGAAATCTGACACCCAGTGTGCAGGACAGAACTGAAAGCGCCCTGTTATAATTTAATCATCTCTGTGGCAGAGTGTCACAACCACAACAACCTGTTTTAGGCAATTCCTCCTTATTTCAGGATATTGCTTTCCCAATATATTCTACTATTATTCTTGAGAACTACAAGCAAGATAGGGAGGAAGACTGGGCAGGTCCAAAGCTACCCGGGGAACTGTCCTTCAGACCCCTCCCCAACAAGATATCCTCCTTAGCAAAGCTAGTCCATTTCATGTGCCCATAGACCACCCAGTTCTGGAGGGAGAGGTTTGTCTTCTCAAATCCTTGGAACACTTTGACTGACACAGTCTCAAGGCAGCTCCATTAAGTCATAGTCAGGATACATTTTACAGACCCAGGAGAGCCACCTAGTACTACTACCACCAGCAGGACAGCCAGACCTGCCCAAAGAAGTGGTCTAGCCCAGGTTCTAGTGATTCAGTAAAAAGGCTGTAATGGTTAATTGAGATTGTCAACTTAGTTGGATTGAGAGATGCCTAGGAAATGCCTAGGATTAAAAGACTTCTAGGTATGTTTATGAGGGTATTTCCAGAGGCAACTGGCATATAGGACATCAAACTGAGGGATGAAATCCACCCTGAGTGTGGTGGGCAGCACAACCATTAGTCTGGGGTCCTGGGTTAAACAAAAGATGGAAGAAAGAGGAAGCTACAGGGTCTGCAAATGCGATTCTTCTGGAGCAGGTGAATATATTGCTGCCAGGGGATATCAAACTCACTCTTCAGTGTGAACTCTCACCAGCCATTCTCCAGGGAACTTCCAGGCCTTCTGTCTTGGTCTTGGACTGCATCAGGTCAAAGGATCTTCGGCCCCCTGTAACAGGAGTTCACTTGATGCTTTGACTATATCCCTTGTGGCTTTGAAACTAACATGCTTTTTTCTTTTTTCCAACCTTCTTCTCCCTGACCTTCTCCTCCCTGACCTTCTCCTCCCTGATCTTTTTCCTAACCTCTTTCCTGATCTTCTCCTCCCTGATTTTCCTTTCCCTAACCTTCTCCTTCCTGATCCTCTCCTCTCTGATCTTCTTTTCCTTAAACCTCCCTGATCTTCTCCTTCCTGATCTCTCCTCCCTAATTTCATTTTATCTGAATCACCCCTTTTAAAACCCCCTGTTTCTGCTGATGGGCAGAATCACACAGCCTTTGGGATGGGAGCCCCCTGTGTTTCTTCTTTGCTAGCTGTGTTTCTCCTTTTTCTCAAAACCTTGTCCTCATTATTGGATTGGCATTGGAGACAAGGACTAAGCTTTTGGCAACACCCCCATCTGCACCAGCAGGCCTTCTTTCAGAAAACTCTAACTTGTGTTTCAACAATGCTTGAGGTGTTGCTAGGCATGGTGGTGCATGCCTGTAATCCAAGCAACTTTGAAAGCAAGGCAGGAGGCTGGTAAATTCAAGGCCAGCCTGGGCAACTTAGCAAGACCCTCAGCAACTTAGCAAGACTGTCTCAAAATAAAAAATGAGAAGGATTGGGATGTAGCTCAGTAATAAAGTTCCCCTGGATTCAATTCCAAGTTCTGAAATAAAAATAAAATACAATAAAACACAATTCTTGAGGTGTTTATATAGGTACAGCAGGTGTTGACAATCCCACACACACCCTCCCAGAAAGTCTACAGCAATTCTGTTGTTTGGAGAAACAGTGTTGAGGGATTTCTGATGGACTGCCAACACAGCAGCAATGAGGCAGTGGACACTGGTTCCTATGTATGGTAACAAAGATCTCCTAAAGAACATAAGTCCAGTCAGTTACACCTCCTGGCAAGTCCCAGGAAAGCCTTATGTACAGCCACAGACTGCTGGCCCAGCAACATTTCTTTTTTCCTTCTTTTTTTTAAATTTTTTTTAGTGTTGATGAACCTTTATTTTATTCATTAATTTATATGTGGTGCTGAGCCACAACCCCAGCTCCCCCAGCAACATTTCTTATAAGGCCCCTGCTTAGCATCTGGATGGCCATCTTAAGTGACAATTGCCATTTTAAGGAAAAAGTTTCACTTTCCCACCCAAGGGCGTTTCTGAAAAAGGCTCACCACTCCCTCATACCAATCCAACCCTTATCTGCCCACATTAGGACTCGTCTAGCTATGATTCCTGAGCCTCCCCAATAAAAGTCCCAGAATTCAAGCCTGTTTTGCCTCTCTCTTCTATAGAGAGATGGCCTTTATTTGTCAGCTCTGACAAACTCTTGTGTGTATCCCTGCCTGGTCTCTGTCTTTCATTTCTTGCTTACCTGTCTCTCCTTCCTCACTTTCCCCTCATTTCTCACTCTCAGGCTTCTATCTAGGGACATTTCCAGTAAGCCTGCTTAATGTTTTGCATTTCAAAAGTTATCATTAAGAAAATGAAAACAGGGGCTAGGGTTGTGGCTCAGCAGTAGAGGGCTTGCCTTGCTTGGGTGAGGCACTAGGTTCAATCATCAGCACCACATAAAAATAAGTAAAATAAAACAAAGATATTGTGTCCATCCATAACTAAAAAAAAAAAAAAAAAGAAAGAAAATGAAAAGAGCTGGGTATGATGGCCCCTGTCTGTAATCCCAGCTACTCAGGAGGCTGAGGCAGGAGGATTCAGAGAGTTGAGAGTTTGGAGCCAGTCTAGAAAATTTAGCAAGGGATAGGCATGTAACTCAGAGGTAGAGCATTTACCAAGCCTGCATAAGGCCATAGGTCCATAGATCCAATCCCCAGCACAACTCAGCACCCTCTCCACCAGAGGAAAAAAAAAGAAGAAAAAAAACCACAAAAAAAGTCAGATGCAAAAGAATGCATATTTCATGACTCAGTTTCCACAAAATGTGCAGAAAAAGCAAATGTCCAGAGAAAGAAAGTAGAACAAAGTTTAGCTGGGCAGGGAGTGGGAGAGGGTGTTGACTGAAAATGGGCACCAGGAAAACTTTTTTGGGGACAGAATATTCTAAAATTTTATTGCTGGGTTGAGTGTACAACTATACATCAAATAAAAACCACAAAACTCACCCTATGTGCATATATAACCACCCGACCACTGTGACTACATCTGTACAACCAGAAGAAAGAGAAGTTATACTCCACTTATGTATGATGTATCAAAGTGCATCTGTCTGTCATGTGTAACTAGAACAACAACAACAAAAAAAAAAAACTCAAAAAACTCTACACATTTCAAGGGTGAACTTTATAGTTCGTAAATTATATCTCAATAAAATTATAAAAAAAATAAGAGTTGGGGCTATTGCTCAGTGGTAGAGTACTTACCTTGTACATGTGAGATACTGGGTTCGACCCTCAGCACCACATAAAAATAAATAAAGATATTGTACCAACTACAACTAAAAAATTTTTTTAAATATTTTTTAATTGTTGATGTACTTTATTATTTATTTATTTATATGCTGTGCTGAGGATCAAACTCAGTGCCTTACACATGCCAGGCAAGTGCTCTGCCACTGAGCCACAGCCACAGCCCCCTTTTTTTTTAATTATAAAAAAAATTGCCAATAACAGATTGTGAAATAAAAGGTAAAAACTAAAACTAGGTCTCAGGCAAGTCAATAGCATCTAGGAACTCACATTTGGAAATTTAAACTATAGAAAATATAAAAAGTGATTAGTACAAAGCTGGAAAAATGGTCAGTTTGGGGGAGAGTAGGGCTGAGACTGGAACAAGGCACATGGATGGATTTGTGGAGAGGCTGGCAAAATCCTGGCTTTTAACCTGGCTAGTAATTAGTTTCTCTTCTTGGAATAACTCAGGATTGTCTACATGTAATTTGTGTTGTATTCTTTTAGAATTATATATTTTTTTAATATTTATTTATTTTTTTAATTTTTAGGTGGACACGATATCTTTTACTTTTATGTGGTGCTGAGGATCAAACCCAGTGCCTCATGCATGCTAGGCGAGCATTCTACCACTGAGCCACAATCCCAGTTCCTATATTTTTAAACTCACAAAAAATTAAAGGAGAATATTTAGGCTGCTAAATATAAAAGTGATGTACCAAAATCAATCACATTTCCACATATCAGTAAGAAATTATGAAATTAAACATTTAAAGAGATATTATTAGCTGGGCATTCTGGTGGTCATCTTGTAATCCCAGCTACTCAGGAGGCCATGGCAGAGGACTTCAAACTCAAGGTCAATTTAGGCAATTTAGCAAGACCTTGTCTCAAAATATAATTTTTTAATAAAATAATAGAGGATCATAGCTCAATGGTAGAATACTTACCTATAGCATTTGTGAATCCCTGGGTTCATTTCCAGTACTTGGGGGGAAAAAAAGATATATTACAAAAACATAATGTACCTAGTAAATTTATCAAGTTTGTGAAGGTCTTTGGAGAGGAAAACTGAAAAACTTTATTTTCAGTCATAAGCAAGATCTACAAAAAAGCCAGACATGGTGGCACACACCTGTAATCCCAGTGGCTCAGGAAGCTGAGGCAGGGGGATTATGAGTTCAAGATCAGCCTGAACAATTTAGCAAAACCCTAACCAACTCAGCAAGACTCTATCTCTAACTAAAATACAAAAAAGTGCTGGAGAGCTGGGGTTGTGGCTCAGCAGTAGAGTTCTTGCTTAGCATGTGTGAGGCTCTGGGTTCAATTCTCAGCACCACATACAAATAAATAAATAAAAATAAAGGTTCATCCACAATTCAAATATATATATTTTAAAAAGGGGGCTGGGGCTGGGGATGTGGCTCAAGCGGTAGCGCGCTCACCTGGCATGCGTGTGGCCCGGGTTCGATCCTCAGCACCACATACAAACAAAGATGTTATGTCCGCCGAAAAATAAAAAAAATATTTTAAAAAATTCTCTCTCTCTCTCTCTCTCTCTCTCTCTCTCTCTCTCTTTAAAAAATAAAAATTAAAAAATTAAAAAGGGAGCTGCAGATGTGACTCAGTGGTTAGGTATCCCTGGGTTCAATCTCCAGAACAAAAAAAAAGAAAAAAGATACTCATTTCTTCTTTGACTTTTGAGTTACTACTTAATTTCCAAAGACATTGTATTTTGTTAGGCATTTTTGTTATTGATTTACAATAATATCAATAATTTACAACACTATCAATAAGTTGGTTGGAAAATGTGGATTTCTATGATATTAATCATTTGTTTATATTTATATAAGATTAAATACTGAGAATATATTAGTTCTGCACAAATTGATTTATCAATTGAAGTGAAATCCCAATCAAATTGTAAATTATTTTTGTTGATCCTAGCAAATCAATTCTATGGTATATATGTCTAAGAGTGCCATGAAGGTGAAGGAAAAGATGAGAGAATTTAAACTACCAAGTATCAAAACATCTTATAAATTTATAACAATTAAGACAGTTTAGGGGCTGGGGTTGTGGCTCCGTGGTAGAGCACTTGCCTGGCACGTGTGAGGCACTGGGTTCGATTCTCAACACTATATATATAAATGAATAAAATAAAGATTTTTAAAGATTTTTTTAACTGTAGATGGACAAAATATCTTTATTTATTTATTCCTATGTGGTGCTGAGGACCGCACCTAGTGCCTCTCATGTGCGAGGCAGACGTTGTACCACTAAGCTATAACCCCAGCCCTAAAGATTTTTTTTAAAGTATAATATTGATGCAGAGAAAGATAAATGAAGAGAATAGTATAGGGAGTTCAGAAACAGACACTTGATATACAGGAAAAGTATTACAGATAAACTTTTAATAAATGGTGCAGGGACAAGTGAAAGCCCATCAGGGAAAAACATTAAACCCTAAGGTACAGATTGGATTTGGAATGTCCCCCAAAGGTCCATTTGGTAAAAAGTTGGTCTCCATCTCAGCAGTATTGAGAGATAGAAGTAGGACAGAAGATGCTGGACACCCAAGGAATTTTCAGGAAGAAGGTTAATTGACTGCAGGGTTCAGAGGTGGCTCTCACCTAAGAATTCTTCCTCTGAACAAAGATTTTGGAAATTCTTTGAACTTTATACCCACTGGGGGAAGAGGTGCTCAGAGGCTCACATGATAAGTGCTCTCTGTTCCATCCTCTAGACCAGACAGGTTTCACAAGTTATTACCAAGAGAACAGAGATAATATATTTATGTACAACAAGCTTGCAGACTGGCACACCTTTTGTGTACAAACCTGGCATGTACAAGAAAGACGAAACTTCAACCCTAATAACTTCTGCAGATGGTCTGCTGACCTGACAAGAGAAGAAGCTTAATTATGGCAAGGGTGTTTTGGGTTGGGGTACCTGGTCTGCTTCAAGATGATGGAAACTTGAGCTGGGATTGTGGCTTAGCGGTAGAGCACTCGCCTAGAACCTGCAAGGCGCTGGGTTCGATCCTCAGCACCACATTTATGAAAATTAAGAACTTGGGGCTGGAGTTGTGGCTCGTGGTACAGCACTTGCCTGGCATGTGTGAGGCCCTGGGTTCAATTCTCAGCACCACATACATTAAATAAAGGTCCATCAATGACTAAAATAACATTTTTTTAAAAAGAAAGAAAATTAAGAACTTCATCAAAAGCTAGTGTAAAGAGAATAAAAGAGGCTGATGTGGTAGCACATAGCTGAAATCCCAGTAACTTGGGAAGCTGAGGCAGGAGGATCACAAGTTCAAGGCCAGCCTCAGCAATTTAGGAAGTTTCTGTCTCAAAATTTAAAAAGGACTGGGGAGGACCGGGGTTGTGACTCAGTGGTAGAGCGCTTGCCTAGCATGCGTGAGGCACTGGGTTCGATCCTCAGCACCACATTAAAATAAAATAAATATATTGTGCCCACCTAAAAACTAAAAAATAAATATTTTTTTAAAAAGGACTGGGGATGCAGCTCAGTGGTAAAGTATCCCTGGTTTCAATCCCTGGTTTAAAAAAAGAAAAGAAAGAGAGAGAACAGAAGAAAAGAAAAGAAAAAGAAGAGAAGCCTTAAAATTGAGAGATTTTGCAATGCTTGACCTAGAAATGACAAGTATCTATAATATATAATGAACTCCTACTACTCAAACTGAAAATATAGACAGCCCAATAAAAAACTGAGTAAAAGACTTCAATAGACATTTCCTGAAGTAAAAGAATACAAAAAACAAATAAACTTATGAAAATATTCTTAGCCTCATAAATAATTAAGAAATTAAAATTTGACATCAAAGTGACATTTCACTACCCAGTAAATAATTGAATGGTCTTACTATACCAAATGCTTCAAGGCCATGAAATAAGGCTGGGGCTGTAGTTCAGTGGTAGAGTACTTGCCTAGCATGTATGAGGCACTAGGTTCAATCCTCAGCATCATATAAAAATAAACAAATAAAATAAAGGTATTGTGTTCATCTACAACTGAAAAAGAAATTTAAACAAAAGGGGGGAAAAGGGCATGAAATAGTTGGAATTTGCATATATTGCTGGTAAAAGTATAAATTAGTGAAGCCACTTTGGAAAACAGTCTGGCTTTACTTCATAAAATTGAAAATGGCTTTATATATGACCTAATATATGTATACATACACCACCCCGAAGTAGTACGTGGCAGGAGTATAAATTGATATAACTTTCTGGATGACAACTTCACATTAACTATTCAAATTTAATATGCACATTCTCCTTTCATTTACAAATCCCGCTGTTAGGGGTTTATCCTATGGACATTATAAGTGTAATTTATAAATAAATTACTAGGTAATATGATATAAATTCAGAGTGATATAACATATTCTATCATCTTGAATTATTTGCTATGCTATATTGGATAGAGTGAAAGGAGAAATTTGTAAATAAAAATGTCATCTTAAGGTAATAAACACATTTGCAGATCCACGAGGATACCACACTCAAATATGTATTATTTATACCAGTTTACCACTAATAAGCACTTATTGCACACTTAAGATGTAAACAATTTGAAATTATAAATGTATTTATATAAAACATAATT